ACTGTCAGGTAAAGTACAACATTAACTACCTTACTAATAAAATACAAAATAATTTGTTAAACTTAGAAAATATAAAAAAACAAGCGTGATAAAATCATTTTTTGCTCTTTACCAATTTTCATTTATGGGACATGGTGTCTTATGGTTCCGATGTACAGATATATTTTTACACAGTGTCACCAGAATACGAGGCAATTATAGCGTTCATAGACGATTACACGATCAGCAATCGTCGATTGTATAGCTGCCCTCCTTAGCCAAAAGGGCGTATCTCAAAAATACTAAATTTTCACAATTCACATTTTGTTATATTTTCATCAGCACTCACTTTTCAATATTTTTCAATTTTAACTGCATTAAAGTGTGTTTTGTAATACAATTATATTTTAGATTACTTAATTTTTTAAAATTCCTTACTATATATAATCAAACAATGAGATAACCCTTTTTTGCTTAGTATAAGTAATAAATTTCACTAATCGAAAAGGGCATTTCTATCAAAAAGAAATCAGTCAGTGTGATACCTTTTTAGTGTTAACACTATTAATTAGTTTTAAATTCTGAATACTTGTAACAAACACATTTACCAAAATAATTAACTTAATAAAGCACAGAAACCACTGAATTCAAGATTTAATTAACTAGCAAAACTTTTTTTACAAAATTGAAAAATTTATTAAACAGCCCTTTTTAATGTTAATTTAATGTAATGCTAAGCAAAAAAAACTTTTCCATAAATTAACAGTTCTAATCAGACACTGGAAGATTTTCGTAAAACTTCATCCGTGGTTTTCCTATGATTCCTCATAGGTTTTTGATTGTCTCTTTTTTTTTCAGAAGATATTCCCTTATAAGTTACTTGAGACTTAGGTTTGGGGAAAATGTGGTTCTCTGTAATTTTTGAGTTTAGAAAATTGATTTCCTTGTACTCCTTTTGACACAATCTGGAAGAACCAACACCTAAGACAAGACACAAAAACAAGAATCTATAAAGCAGCAATTAGACCTATATTAACATACACGGCGGAGACAAGACCTGACACATCTAACACGAGGCGACTGCTAGAAACAACAGAGATGAAAATACTCCGACGAATATCAGGGAGAAGTCTGTTGGATAGGGAGAGAAGCGAAAACATAAGAAGAGCTTGCAATATAGAAGACATAAATGGATGGGTGACAAAACGAAAACAGGAGTGGAACGAACACATCAGTAGAATGGCAGAGGATAGAATAGTACGAATAGCACAAGATAAGTCACCAAATGGACGAAGAAGTACCGGTAGACCAAGAAAAAGATGGTGCGACAATTTTATTGGAGATGAAACAGGCTTTAAAGCTTACATACTAGAAGGCAGAAGAAGAAGTACTCCTTTTCATCAAAGCCATTTTTGTATTTCATTGACTGTTTACCTCTTGAAAAAACTACCTCTACCATGTCATGCAGGTACGGTCGTGGTACAATTTTGTTGAGTTTGTGTTGAGGTGAGAAGTCATCCCAAACAAGAAAGTTTTTTAAGTCCATGATATGAACATCAGTTTTTAACGATTAGACCAGTTTTTGTTTGAGATGAACAGTTATCTAACCATATTGTTATGTTTTCCACATCCCTTTTAAACAAAAGAAATTGGTTTAAAGTACTGATTAACTTGTCTTTGGTCCGACCAAACAGGCCATCGTGCCACACAGCAGCAAAAGGTTTGCAATGTTTTTGCTTTTTTCCCTTCTTCTTCTTCTTCCTTCTAGTATATAGGCTTTAAAGCCTGTTTCTTCTTCGATATTAGCCTCATAAATTGTCGCACCAATCATAGATTTTCCCACTGTTACAAATGTTTCATTTTACACAGATACTCTATGTGTCAATATGGCAGATTTAAACATATCTAGCCTGGAAAGCATAATTACTTTTTCCATGTCTGCGCAATAAGCTATGTACTTTACATTTTCTTCCTTTTCTTTGTCTTCAGTGTATAATTTTCTTGATTTATTTGACTTTTCCTTGTGAGCTTTCCATTTAGTGCAACTCTCACACGACTTATCCAGGTTTTCTTTGTCATGGGTTTTGTAGTATTCATTAAATTCCTGACACAACTCGCACTCCTTGTGGCCAAGTTTAACAATTGATATATTCATGTCTTTAGTTACTTTTCTACACTTTTCATATGAACACACAAAATAAAGATTTTTTTCTTTGAAGTCTTTAAACATACAAGTAAAGCTCAATTCACTGGTAAGATTTAAACGATTAGGAGTATGCTCCCGGCGATAATGAGCGATCGAGGGTCCAAAAGAATTAATGTGCTGTTTGATTAGGTCACTATTAATCTTGTTGTGAGGTTCTTTCGTACATCTTGAGTCTTTTTGAGGCACTACAGAGTTTCTGTTGCTTTTGAAAATGTTCCGGAATACTTTGTCATTACCTTTGTCATAGCCCAAAGTACTTATAAAAAAAAACTTTACACACTATTACAGATTTTTCATTTTCATTTTTCAATATGTAACGAAATGAGTTGTTTCTTTTAAACTTTTCGCCCTGGGAAACAACGGTTCTTTGCTTTAAAGGTACATTTGATACATGGTGAAGAATGAAAGATTTCCTTTCATTTTGATTATTCATCTTCCAAAAAGATTCATTCAAAAACTTTCTCCTTTCCTCACTAACTTTTTGGGAACACTTGTGAAGGCATTCAGAATTACAACCTGGTTTTACTGAATATTTGTCCACCATTACATTGAGCTTCTGTTTCTTCCTTTCATCTACTATTAAGTTATATTTTTTTTCTTTTTCGGATTGTACTTTTTTTGGTGTATTGATGAGTTGTAATACTTTGTTTGGGACTTTTAAGAACTTCTTCAGATATTACAGATTCATAAGCTCTCCAAACTGTACTACCGGTAACGGCTGCAGTTCTGTTAGCTCGGAGGTTGAAAAAAGGGTTTGAATACTTTCTTCTAAAGGCGCGTACACATTTGGCGAATGCATGTGGCCGAAGTCTTGCGACCAAACTGCTTCGATAAATGCAAACGTATGTGTTTGCCTTCACTAAAGTTCGGTCACTGGGCGGTACATCAAAAGAAAATTGAAGAACGAATGCGTTTGGCTGTGTTTAATGTGTATGCTTCCGAGTAAAAGTGTCGAACGTCGTCGCGATTTTGTTTTGATTTTCTAATTTGCAATAATGGAGTGGACTAATTCTTCTTATTTAAAACTATTGGTTTATATCGAGAGCGGGAAGTTTTATGGAATCCCGTGCATAAAACTTATATATGAGTGACCAGTAGCTAAATATTGTATAACCTTTCTGTTGGCGGTATCGCTTCTTTAAACTTTGTATCTTCTTTCGCGATTTTTAGACCAATTTCATTTAATAACCATTCAAAATCAGTAGACTTCATTCTACAAAATATTTGAAAATTTTACATTTAGGCTTTTAGATCAATAAATAAGTCTATCCCTCCATACCGGCTTCTGCTTTTGAACAATAATGTTATTCACCAGCGCAGTTTTCGTCTTTTTTTGGAGAGATCTTTTACTGCTTTGGCCTCTGCGTCGCTAATAATAATATACAACGAACTTGCAATAATTATATCCTCGTCCGATGTCATTTTTAACAATTTTACTGCTTTGGCCTGTGCGTCGCTAATAATAATATACAACGAACTTGCAATAATTATATCCTCGTCCGATGTCATTTTTAACAATTTACATCAAATAAATAACTGCCACGTCACGAATCACCAAAATTGCCCGCGAAACTGATCGAATGAGTGCAAACGAATTTGTTTGCTGTAATGTAGAAGAAAGACCAAATTTTCCACCGAACGTCGAAAACATCAAATGAATTCGGTCGAAGAGCTTCGGTCACATATGTTCGCCAGATGTGAATGCACCTTAAAATTATACTATCTGACGACTTCATAGGCTTACTAATTTTCTTTTCTTCAAATTCAGAGCCACTTGAAAAGTCACTTACTTGCGTTGCTGGAGTTATATAATCTGGGTCATTATGGTACCTTATCAAGCTTTTGGAACTCTGCGAAGTAAAGCTCTTCTTAGTCTTTTTATTTAGTGCCAACATGACTATTTTTTAAGCATTGTTGATCTGAAAAAAACATATTGCATTGAAACACTAATGCATAATAATAAGTAAGAAAGCATTTGATATAAATAATAGTGCTTTTAATTTAATGTTTCTGACATGTAGCCACAATATTCCTAATTTTTAACTGGATTGAACCTAATTTGGAAGTTGTTAATAACAGCTCCTCAATAAATAAATAGTTTGTTAAGGCTTTACCAGAACGATATGGTTAGGTAGGTCTAGGCCTAACTTAACTTTATTATTACTTTTCTATTTAGTTAAAAATATGCAAGTGTAAAACTTTCAAATTTATATTCTTCATAATACGTAGTTGTCAGGCAAGTACTAAAAGCTGTAACCTAAATATGATTAGAAGCATACGAAAACAATTCAACCCTAGGTTGATTCAAAAATGAAAGTAAATTTGTAGTTTTCTCCTACTTACCTTTCAATTTTGCAATTGTTGGAACTGAGATTAGTAAGTTACAAATAAATAATTAAATAATAAACAATTAACAACATACCTGTTGATAAATTTAGACTTGATTCTGCACCAAAGCAACTAAAAGTTAACAATTATCACAAACACCAAACATAACCTCCAGCTACAAACACTGAGACTCAAATGAAAATTAATCAGCTGAGTTAGGTGCTCTCGCGCTCACCTCGCCATCTGGCACGTGTTACAATCCTTAGCGAATTAGTCATAACTCAGATATAGGTCCGCTAAGGAAAGTTGTCATTTCAGGATATTTGTTTCTAAAACAAATGGTCTTTTTTGCTAAACATATGCGGTTGAGCTATAAATTCTATTAGCCAGGGAGCTTGTTACACTATTTTTATTGACAATTCCAACAAATTTTATATAAATATATTCTGAAAAAAATGTATGATTTGATATTTGTTTTCTTTTGTAGGAATCACGACAAAATAGGGTAAACAGCTGGCAGAATTTCCAGGCCAACAAGAAATCAAAAGATAAATCGAGTAAAAAAATTAAAACCTTTAAGCCACCAAAAAATAAACCCGAGTCTAGATAGGTGGAATGTGTGGACAGATGTGGAATAGTTTTAATACGTGTGTAGTATATATTCTTTTGTTACAATAACAAAAAATGATGATTTGAACTGTTTATCTAAATAGGGGAGTACAGCTATGTATTCGTTTTGGATTCATTTCGTTTTAACACATGCAAAAAGTTTATGATACACAAGAAGCAGAAAAGTGGCAGATATTTTTTTGTGGTTTAATTTTTTAAATAATTTATTTGAGATATGTTATTGAAATATTGTCTGATATTTACTGTGATTGTTCTAATCTTTGTTACTGAAACAAAAGTGTAGTTAAAAAAAAACTCAATTCACTACAATATCAGACAACTCAATAGGATATTTTTTGGACCGAAGTGTTAAAAATTCTAACCTAAAGTATTTTTATAAGTAAATTTTTTAAACTTTTGTTCATATCCTTTTTGCTTATAAAAATACATTTAATCAACGAAATATCTTGTACAGTATACACTTTTAGCCATTTTTATTTTATATATTTTCTTGAAAAGTAATTGTTATTTTTTTCTAAATAAAGGACCTAATTGGTTTTTTTCTTAGTGATTTTAATTTATAAATGTATAGTAGGTGGAAAATTTCCACTTATTACACAATTGTAGTGTTCCCTAAAATATTAGTAATCGAGTTTCAGTTTTGTTTTTATTATTATACATTACATTGAGGAGGAAGAGGTAAAGGAAGCATTAAGGAAATTAAAAAATAGAAAATCACCAGGAGAGGAGAGAATACCGAATGAACTCCTAAAGTACGGAGGACCAGATATGACCAAACAACTATTAAAACTAATCCAAAAAATAATAGAACAAAACAAAATACCACAAGAGTGGAGATCAACCATCCTAATACTTCTCTTTAAAAAGGGGGACAAATCGGATCCAGGCAACTATAGGAGTAGTTATTACACATCACATTTAAATTACCAACCAAAGTCATAACAAATAAACTGAATGAGTAGAGTGAGAATGAGTATTGACTCATTTCTCATATATTCATATTATGGACTCACATTGGCAACCTTTTCATCATTTGAAAACTGAATGAAGTTATATTTCTTCTTCTTCAGTGTCTTATCCGGTCAGGATGTTGGCGATCATCAAGGCTATCATGGTTTTGTTGACTGCTCTGCGAAACAGCTCCGCGGAGGTCATCCCAAACCACTGTCGGAAGTTTTTTAACCACGAGATACGACGGCATCCCGGTTCTCTTCTGCCAAATACTTTACCCTGCACAACGAGTTCGATATTTTTCTTCGTTCCGCATCACGTGCCCGTGGTACTCAAGCTTACGTTGTTTCACTAAATTAAGCACTTATTTTTCTTTTCTCATGCGCTGTAACACCTCAACGTTGGTGACATGGTCCACATACGATATTTTTAGTATTCTTCTGTAGATCCACATCTCGAAGGCTTCAATTCGCTTTTCTGTGGCTTGCGTCAGTGTCCACGCTTCAACTCCATATAGGAACACAGCAGGAATGTAGCACCTCACTATCCGCATCTTGGTTCCCAAACTGAGATCACTGCAGCACAGCAAGGTTCTCAACTTGATAAATGTAGACCGTGCCATTTCAATTCTGGATCTAATCTCTTGAGCGTTGTCCCATTGTGAGTTGAGGGTAGTTCTGAGGTAAGTGAATCTGTCGACTCTCTGGATCTCTTAGCTATCTACCATTAGTGCCCTGGGATCTAAATTTGCACGGCTGGCAACCATGAATTTGGTTTTCTTAATATTAAGGTCTAGTCCGTATATTACGCTCACAGTTCTCACTCAGTCTAGTAAGGCTTGTAGATCATTTAGACTGGTTGCTAGTAACACAGTGTCATCGGCGTAGCGGATATTATTGATGTATTCACCGTTCACTCGGATTCCGATCTTTAGGTTTGTGGGGGCTTCAGTAAAAATTTCCTCAGAGTATATATTGAAAAGAGTCGGCGAGAGCACACAGCCTTGCCTTACTCCTCGTATGATCTTCACACTTGGTCGGTCAGCTAGTCTTTGACCTTGACTTGAGTGTACCCATGGAATTGCGAAATTCAAATTGTATTTCATCGACATTTTCTTCGCATTTCTTGTAAATTCTGGCCTGTATGATTTTAAGAAAAATCTTAAGTGCATGACTCATAAGGCTGATAGTTCGGAAATCTTCACACGTTTTCGCAGATCGTTTTTTTGGTAGTGTTACAAATGTTGACAATAGCCATTCCTATGGGGTATTACCCGAATCTTATATGGCGTTAAACAGTTCAGTTAACTCATCACCTTAATAAGTTCAACGGGTATTTCGTCCGGACCTGTGGCCTTACCATTCTTAGACTGTTTGAAAGCTGCTTTCACCTCACTTTCTAGTACTGACGACCCTGCCATGCAATTTATTTCTGGAACGTTACCTCGGTAGTCCCAGAAAAGTTCTTGGATGTACATTTTCCAGGTCACCAACTTCTCCTTAACTGTCGTCACCAGGTTTCCCGTCTTTGTTTATGAGGAGGTGTGTATTTTTCCTCTTGTATTGACCACAATTACTTGATTAAATAACCAATTCACAAATTTGTGCTTGTTGTTTAGCGGTTTCTAGTTTTTCTCTCATTACATCTCTTACGTTCTGACGAACCACGGGGTCTTTTAGAGTGTCATAATCCAGGTTCTGTTTAGGTTTACTTTTGATGAGTTTTTTTAGTTTGAGTTCTATCTGGCTCACTACTGGGTTGTGGTCAGATGAGACGTCTGCTCCTGGGTAGGTTTTCGCCGAAGTCAAGCTGTTCTTGAATCTTTTGTTAATGAGAATAAATCTGGTTTCTAATGATATTGTTGGCTGTATCTGCAGGTGACTTCCACGTCACAATGAACGAAGTTATAACAATAGCAGAAGAACAACAAAGTTTTAGCTCGGGAAGATCATATACGGATGCTATATTTATAATGAAGTAAGGCAAGAAAATCACTGAGTACAACAAACCGACATATTTGTTTCGGGGACCTTAAGAAGGCATTTGACAGGGTCGAATTAAAGGACGTTATCCAATTATTGTACGTAAGATAGATACCTCTAGGAATGATCAAAACGATCGAAAATATCTACCAGAACAGTAAAAGTAGATCAACTAACTGACTCAATTGAATCTGGCAATGGAATAAGATGGAGATTCCCTGAGTCCTCTATTCAACCTGGTCATGGATGAAATAAAATAAGTGAGAACGAAAAGAGGATCCCAACCGGGAGAAAAACTTAAACTTAAAATAATCCGTTTTGCAGACGACATAATACTAATCTTTCAAAAGTGATTTACAACGTATGCCATGTTGACTAATAACGACATACGCGACCCGACGTAGGAAGAACAAAAAGAATGCTAGAAACAGCAGAGATGAAAACCCCTTAAAAAAATCATTGGTAAGACACTATCGGGCAGAGCTAGAATTACAGATATACGACGGAGGTACAAAGTGGAGAACAGCAAGGACTGTATAAGAAAGAGAAGAGTAGAATGGAACGATCATATAAGCCAAATGATACCAAATAGACGGTCAGTGGGAAGGCCACGAAAACGATGGAACGATATCTTACTGGAGGTACATTAAAAACATATGTCTACACAAAAAGGAGAGTCTCAGTTTTTGTTATTTGCGGTACCTGTTCCTGATTGCCTTATTGATTGACGAGGATACTCCATTTTATTAAAAATATGAAATATTACAAGAGTATATGAGACCTCTATTTGCAGAACAACCAATCTCCACCCTGGTAAAATTGCCGTAAATCATAATTTTTTACCGTGAATATATTTGAAGACCTGGAGCCACAAAATTCGTTATCCATAAACTTTGATCGCTCAAAATTAGTTTTTCGTTGCTAGTTTCTTGGTTGGTATTAAAATACTCTTATAATTAAAGAAACGTATTTGGAGATTGGCTACTTTGATGGCAAGTGGATATTGGCTATTTTGAAATAAACAGACCAGGGGATTGGTTATTTTGTAGTAAAAACACAATTGTTTAATAACAGTACTTTATAGATAAAAATTATAAAATAATTATTAATACAAAAATTCTATACTCTTAAGACTTCTTCAGGGACGTTTGGAACATTTTAGTAATGAAGGGCGTTTTTGAAATAAGCCAGTTTCGGATCATTTTGCCTATCTTCGCCAGTGACTTTCCAGTAGCTTACTTATGTCCTTCAATTTCTCTTTGCTAATGTTGGTCAAGTTCCCGACTCCTACTTCATTTGGATTGATGTTAATGGTAGATCTTTCTTTTTTTTTTAAATACTTTAAGGCTACGGTTATATCAGTTATATATAATCAGTCGGACGACAGTCAGTATATAATCAGTCGGACATAAACGGACGACATTGGTAGTGCGACTAGGAGGTCGAATTGCAAGCTTTTAACTGCAACTATGTATTCAGACAACATGGCCGAGGATGAAGAATATTTATTAGAAAATAATTTTTTACGTCTTTTGATGTTAGAAAACTCAAGAGTATGGGTAAATGATATATATATATATATATATATATATATATATATATATATATATATATTGAAATGATTTCAATATGTTAAAATATATACAACTTTAATGGATTTTTATATGAGTTTGTTGTTTATGAATTTCATGAAGCCATCACAATGTGGGTTCGACTCTGAAATAAAAGAGAGAAAAAGATTAGTAAATTGTTAAATAAATTAATTTTGACTTACCTGGTATAGTGTTAATAATTTCTGAACAGTATAGTTGCCTAGTGTATAGGTGAATCGTCTAAACCTTAAAAAGAACAAAAAAAGAAGAATTAAAAAAAAATATTTAAACATAGAAATTTTAATAAACGTCAGAAAATAAACTGCTTGACAGTTTATTTGACAGTCTGTGGGAGCTAAATTAATAGGGGTTTTGTTAAATAAGAAATTACAATGATGTGGAGATGAAAAGAATAAATTAGTATTGTAATAGAATAAGTTTTATATCTAAACATTTTTTTTTGTAAATTCCCAAATTATATGTGATTAAAGTGATTATGAGAAAGTAATGTGGCTTGACAAATATGTCAAACAGGACAGTTTTATGGTTTAAAATATTTAAATAGAAGACAGAAAAAAAAAGAACGTTGGTTGCTGTTAGCAACGGATAATAATAGGAATTGGTTTTTGGAGAGATAGTTGGTCGGGAGTGTTTTTTAACTCGTCTAATTAGAATTTAGTTTTTCCACAGTTTCCACAGCAGAGATATCCAGAAATTTGTTCCAGGGAGTAAGAGAAACAATTTCACTTATAAATTATATTGGAGTATAGAAATGTCATTTAAATTGAGAAAATTAAAATTCATGAATTAACATAATTTCGATAGGCCTTAAAAATTGAAATTATTAATGATCATTAAATTAAAAATAGAATAGTACGTACCTTAACTTCCAAAGAGAGGATTGATATTCTAGTTTCACCGATTATTTTTGAGTAGTTAGTTTCCTTTAAAGAAATCAGAACTGTTTTAAAGTGAGGTTGGACAATAATTTTGGGGATCATTTGAAATTTTGATTAT